TAGAAAAGCGCCCTCCCCCTCCCCCACATGCAATGGCCGCATCCTATAAGAGTAGAACCCGGGGGAGCAGAATGTCCTGCCCTTACCCCCGGCCTCCAGAAGGTGAGTCACGGAGGGGGTCCGGAAAGATCCTGGAATGCTCGGCACCCCCAAATCTCAGGAGAAGATGCTCAATGAGGAGCATCTTATTGTGGGATTTGGGATCTCCATTGTTCCTCATAAGTCCCAGAAGAAATTTAAAGCGACAGTACACAAATAAGGATGAAACAGAGTAAAGGGAAACGCGTTACCTCGGTCTGCAGGGGGGGTGAGCGCGATGAAGCTTCGGCAATTTTCACCTGAAATACAAAAGAAACATTCCGAATTAAAAGACGCCGCCATAGTGAGCGCCAGAACGGGGGAGGGGGCATTCATGAGAGTTAAAGCGGACTCCTGCACTCTGCATGTCACCAATAGGGAGGCTCTTGTGGGAGGAGAAGGCGGGGCTAAACGCTACAGGAAAAGTCACAATTTGCATGCATGGTTTTGACTCTTTATGCGGTGACAACCAGCTGACAGTGTGGGCTCCGTGCTGCGTTGGTGTGACCTCTGACCTCAGCCTTGATTGAACACTAGAGAATTATGACCCCTCCCCCCTCCTGTCACTCAGCGACGGACAATTTCCAGCACGAAGGATGACAGAGTCTAATCTATGATTTCTGGGGGTCTGAGGACGCGGAGGAGAGATTTCCTGTCTGTGGGATGTTCTGAGGTGCAGCTGCAACATTGTATCAGTTTTCAGGGATATTCGGGGGGGTGACGAAAAAAAAGGGATGTGACGCTGATTCCGGGGGTGCAGCGTTAGATCCGGGGATCAGGATCACCTCCAGTACTGCTAGAAGACCCCTCTGATCTATGAAATACATATCTTCCTGGTCTGTCATGTCCATCCTCTGTGTGATCCCTCCGCCCCCTTGTGGATCTATATGGCTCTGTAGTGTGTCACCAAGGAAAGTCACAACTCCGCCCACCGCCCCGCCCCCATCCCTCTGCTGCCTGTCAGACCACCTCTATCGCATCACAGAGCAGCCACTCACACTGGCAGCCTGATTTCATCTTCCAGCTGGCGTGTGGCCAACTAGTATATGAAGCCGGATTTCAGACAGCGACCTATGTATGAGGTGAAGCTGCAGGATGGTGATGACGTTCCCGGAAGACGTTGGCTGCGGCGGGGCCGAACATTGTGTTATTGGCGGAGGATCCGTCAGGACGGGAACCGGATTCCGCCGCCT